ATTAAGTTGCCTGGAGTTGTGACCTGCCTCTGCTTCTAATTCAGCTGTTCAACTCTTGCTTGCCACAAACAAGAAGACAGCATGACAAGCAAGGAAGAGCAGGAAAGACTGCGCCTAGAATCTTGAGTTCACCGACTGCTGGTACGAGAGACTGAGGTCTACCTCTGTGGGCAATGGTCTATAAGTGGGCAAGAGTCCACGACCAAGATTGAGGCCCACAGGTGAGGGTGTGCCAACGGGCAATGGTCCAAGGCTTCAGACCTGTGTGTTTTAAGAACTTCCTTCAGACAATCATGTACTGACTTCCGTGCTTGGTCACACTGTTGCTTCCTGAACATCAAGCATTGGCTGATAAACATCGGTATGGGTTGTAGCTTCCAAAGTTTGTGCCACATCAATTCCCGTTATTGGACTTCCCAAAGCAGCTCAAAACAAGGTTTGACATCGAGCCTTCTCAGTCGACCTCCCTTACTTAGTGAAGGGAGGCTTCCCAGTTCTGCCTCTTAGGCCTTTCCTTCTGGCTCCTTGTTTTCACAGTCTTTAGCTTTTGCCTGTCTCATCTCTGACTTTCTCAATCTCTCCAGTATTGTTCATGTCATTGTGGACAGCAATATTGTCAGCAGATACCCTACGAAGAAACAGACAACAGCTCAAAGTACTTGGCTCTTCCCTGCCCAAAGTGAGAGAACCCTGGCTTCAGCCAGGCTCAGCTTTGGCTGTTGTGGGCCATTGGGGAGTGAACTAATTTTTTTTACATTTTATTATTATTGTTATTTTTAAACTGGAACGACAGGTTTACAGAGAGAAGGAGAGATAAAGATCTTCCAGCCACTGGCTCACTCCCCAAATGGCCAAGGACTTGAGCCATCCTCTATTGCTTTCTCAAGCCGCAAGCAGGAAGCTGGATGGGAAGTGGAGCAGACGGGACATAAACTAGTACCCATATGGGCTATTAGTACCTGCAGGAGGAAGATTAGCTTGTTAAGTCACTGTGCCGGCCCCAGAAAAAACAATTTTAGTCCCTAAAATGTTAAATTCCTTTCCCCCCTGAGTTTTACAATAAGATCTAGCTGACTGACTGTACAACATTGCTGGGCTGACATCCTTTTGTAGCCCCCTCCCTTACATAGGTGTTTGTTATTGCTGTCCTAGATGCCTCCAAGGAAGGAGACAGAGCTTCCATAAGACTTGTCGCTTTGTGGGAGAGTCACGAATGACATCACAATGCACGGATTCTCTCAGCTCTCACAAACCACACTTCAGTTAACTCATTTGTTCAGGTTACTGCTGGGCTCAAACCAGTTCCCACTTGGTTTCTTTCAAGCCAAGAAATCTGTTTCTTTGAAAGAGAAAGACACTATTTTGAAAGAGAAATATACTGAACTTCTCTCATTATAGCATCTAATAAGCTTGTCTTTGTCTGCTGTATCACCAAGTTTTCTTTTCTTCATAATATCAATCATATTGGTAAGTACAATCAAATCTTCCAGGTAGACCATAGACTTACACTTACATTTGTAGATGAAAAACACATTTAGGCCTTCAATACATATCCATTGTGCATTGACTTTGCTGGAAAATAATCTACATCATTAATATATGTTATATAATTTTGTTATTACAAACTTGCAAAGTGTTACTAAGAATTATGACTGTTGGGATCATTACTGACGGTAGCAGGCTAAAGCCTTGCCAACATCCCATAAGGGCTGGAGTTTGTGTTCTGGCTGTTAAGAGTCCACCACTTTTTTTGTTTTTGCTTTATTTTTTAAAATAATGATTGCAGAGTTGATCAGAGTGGGAAGAATATAGGGTTAGGGAAAATTGGGTGAACTCCTTGCTTCCAAATTTGCTGCTGCTGTTTCTTGTCCCTGGGGGAAAGGAAGAGACAAAGGGAGAAGCCACTCATGAAGACTCTACAACTTTTAATGACCTTAGGATGACCAAACCAGTTTTGGGAGCACCCTTTTACTTCTTCTTCTTCTTCTTTTTTTTTTTTTTTAAGATTTATTTATTTTTATTTAAAAGGTGGCTATACAGAGAGGAGGATCTTCTGTCTGATGATTCACTCCCCAAGTGACCACAATGGCTGGTACTGAGCCAATCCGAAACCAGGAGCCAGGGACTTCCTTCAGGTCTCCCACGCGGGTGCAGGGTCCCAAGGCTTTGGGTCATCCTCGACTGCTTTCCCAGGCCACAAGCAGGGAGCTGGATGGGAAGCAGGGCCACTGGGATTAGAACCGGCACCCATATGGGATCCCGGCGCGTTCAAGGCAAGGACTTTAACCACTACACTATCGCGTCAGGGCCCCCTCTTATTTCTGACTTTAATTTGACCAAGCTTGCTATAACCTCAAAGGAGGGAGAAGCAAAATCCTTGTTTTTTTCTAAAATTGTCTCATGCTGAGCATTCCAGTAAATTTTTTTTGTGTACATACTTACTTGTACTATCATATCAGTAGCTGTACTTTATAAGTTTGCACGCGATGATTTAAAAAAGCCAAAGATAAAAGATTTTTTTCCCTATTTGCTTATGAACCTGTTGGGTTTTTCTGTCCTGTTTGACGATGAAACTATTTTGTTTCTCAGTAAACCAGATTTTTGTTTTTTTCTTTAAAATTTTTCAACACTTAAGTTTAAAATATTTTAAAAAGTTTAAATGCTGCATAAAGAATACTCCTGAAGACTAATAAATTGACATTAAAATCTTAGTAATATGGGCTCGGTGTGATGGCCCAGTGGCTGCATCCTCCCCTTGCATGCTCCTGAAACCCTGCATAGGCACTGGTTTGGGTCCTGGTGGCTATGCTTCCCATCAGGATCCGTGCTTGTGACCTGAGAAAGCAGTGGAGGATGGTGTAAAGCCTTGGGACTTTGCACCTACATGGGAGACCCAGTGGAGGCTCCTGGCTCCTGACTTTAGATCAGCTCAGCTCCAGACACTGGAGTGAACCAGCTAATGGAAGATCTCTTTCTCTATGCCTCTTCTTCTTTCTCTGTAAACCTGCTTTTGAAACACAAAAATAATATATATATATATGTATATATATATATTTTTAAAAGGCTAATATAAAATCAGTAAATAATCATTGAAAGTCCCCCAATATGATTAAGATCTTTAACCCACACATCTATAAACCTAAACAAAATCCAAGTAAGATAAACACAGACATCCCCACCAAATGTACATCATGGTCATGGGCATCCAGACTGGTCCCGTATCTGTATCCCATAAGCACACTGGTTCTTATCCAGCTTTCCCGGCCCAGCTTCCTACTTAGGGCCTGGGAAAGCAGCAGAAGATGGCTCAGGGCCTTGGATTCCTGCACCCACAGGGAGACCTGGAAGAAGCTTTAGGCTTCAGACCAGCCTAACTCCTACAGTTGAGGCCATTTGGAGAGTGAAATAGCAGATATAACTTCTCTCTAACTCTGCCTTTCCAATAAAAATGAATAATTTTTTTCCAAAAGATTCATTTATCCTTCTTAGAAAAGTAGACATTCAGAGAAAGAAGGCAACACAGAAAGATACTCATCTGCTGGCCCACCCTCAAATGGTTGCAGTGGGCTGGAGCTGAGGGGATCAGAAGCCAGAAGCCAGGAAGCCCCCAGGTCTCCCACAGGGGCACAGGGTCCTAAGGCTTTGGGCTGTTCTCCACTGCCTTCCCATGCCACAAGTGGGGAGCTGGATGGAAAGTGGAGCAGTTGGAACATGAACCAGCGCCCACACGGGATCTCAGCGTAGTCAAGGCAAGGATCTAGTCGCTAAGCTATGGTGCCAGGCCCTTTTCTTTTCTTTTTTCCTTTCCTTCTTTTCTTCCTTCTCTCTCTCTTTTTTCTTAGAAAAAGAATAGCTGCTGTTGATCTGGAAAACTTTCCAGGAGGGGCAGATCAAATGAAGTTAGTGATACTTACCATATTAAGATGTCACTCATGATGACATGGCTACAAGGCAGAGCTGGAAAATCATCTTAGGTAGTCGAAGTTCAAAATCTGCCTTTCCTCTTGGACCGGGAGAGATGAACTGGGATCTGATTGTCTTGTTCTTTTTTATAAAACTTTTCTGAGTTGTGTTTGAAGTGTTGTAGGGACATAGTTACCACTGAACAAACAAAAGGAACTTTGTGGCAAATAAGGAAACCAGAAAGATCTTCCAGACATAGGCTTTTCTAGGCAGCTTTCAGCCTGTCAGCTTCTTGTGGTTTTATCAGGCAGATCGGTCTCCAAAAACTGATATCAGCGCCATAATCTTGCCAGGTTAAAAAAAATTTTTAATATTTATTTTATTGGAAAGGCAAATATAAAGAGAGAAGGAGAGAAAGTTCTTCCATCCTCTGGCTCACTCCCTAAGCGGCCATAACGGCCAAGGCTGAGCCAATCCAAAGCCAGAAGCTTCCTCCGAATCTTCTATGCGGGTGCAGGGTCCCAAAGCTTTGGGCCGTCCTTGACTGCTTTCCCAGGTCACAGGCAGGGAGCTGGATGGGAAGTGGAGCAGCCAGGGCACGAATTGGTGCCCATATGGGATCATGGTGGATGTAAGGTGAGAATTTACCCACAGTTATCCTGCTAGGCCGTCGCCAGGCTTCCTCTCCCTCACTGACCGCCTTCAATTTACCAGAAATATGTCTGGTGAAACCCCGGCTAAGGTTAAAATCATTATTTGCTTTAATGTTTAAAAGGCTATCTAGAAAGACAATTTCATGTGCTCAATATGAGAGCGGTTAGACTGGCCTAAAGTAGAGGCAGATTTTTTCCCCTCCAGGCTTGTCGTTTAATCTTGTCTCGCAACCCCAAAAGCAACCGGTGAAAACTTCCTGTGGGGGCTGAAGCCCAGTCTGGCCTAGCCCGACGCCGACACACAGGGAGCGCCCGCCCCCGGGCGCCTGGCCTCTCAGCCACCGCCTGGTGACGCCACGCTCGCCCGCTGCATCATGGGCATTGTAGTCCGGCTGGCCCCCGCCGCCGGTCACAGATCGCGTGAGCCCGCCGAGGCTCAGGTCCGCGCCCACAGAGCCCCTTCCTGTCTCCGCTGGGCCTCCCGGCCGCGGGGCGCGGCTTCGCGGCGAGTCAGCTGTTTGTCCCTTGGGATTCCGAGAGGCGGAAACCCGAGGGGCGTGGGGAGGGGCTTGGCGCGTCGGGGAGGACGCCCGCCCTACGTGCTCGTTCCCTCGCGACCGCAGCGCGCGAGCCCCGTGTCCCCGCAGCGGGCGGCAGCGGCGGCGCCAGGCGCAGGGGGCGGAGGGAGCCCGCGGCGGCTACAGCGAAATGGCGGAGACCGTGGCGGACACCCGACGGCTGATCACGAAGCCGCAGAACCTGAATGACGCCTACGGGCCGCCCAGCAACTTCCTCGAGATCGACGTGAGCAACCCCCAGACCGTGGGGGTCGGCCGCGGCCGCTTCACCACCTACGAAATCAGAGTCAAGGTGAGGCCGTCTTTGCCCCCGGACCCCTTGGAAAGGCTCCGCCCGCCCGCCCCTGCTGCTCCCCTCAGCGGATCGGGTTTCCCCATCGCCCAGGCCCGGCGATCCCTCCCCCTGTCCCTCCCGCCTGCGGACTCGGCCGGGCAGCCCTGTGGCCAGGCTGGGGTCGTGAGCCAGAGCCGCTGCTGGTTTGTGGGGGCTGGGGGTGGGGAGGTGGCTGCGGGGCGAACCCGGCGCTGGCCCCTGAACGAGGTGCTGGAAGAAGAGGGCGTGGGCTGAGCGCCGCCAGCCCTTAAGGCAGCTGATCTGGCAATGACATTTGAGTTGGGAAGGCAGTAGATCTTTCGAGAACATCGCCTGTCGCAGGGAAGGGTGTCTGCGCAAAGTTGGAGCTTTCCGAGGTTCTTCGCCAGGAGGCTTCCCCCTGGGCTGCCAAAGCCGGCTTGCCGCCCTCCTAAGCCGTGCCCTGTGGAGTCTTAGGGTGGAACCTAATGGCAGCGCCCACAAGGCCTTTGGAAAGGACTCAGCACGGTGACCACAGTGGTGCTAAAGGCTAGGATGTGGGGAGGCGTCCCTCCTTCGCTGTCCAGTGTGACAAGCGCGTTAAAGATATGCTTGTTGGTTTGGGGAATCTTAACTCTCTTAATTTCGAGATTTTCACTTCGCGGAGTGAAGGACTCAGCTGAAGTTGACACACACACACAACTTAGAATTTCACAGCTGGTATTGGTTGGGCGGGAGTCTTCCGGAGGATTTGAAAGATGCTAATTGGGAAGAGTTCTTCATTTTCACTCTACAGACCTTGCCCAAGTATGTGGAAGGGATCTTTCAAGATCAGTTACCTATACATAGAAATAACCTAGCCGTTAAAGACAACCACAAGTTACTGTGTTTAAAAAAAAAAATAAGCGAAAGATTATTTGCGTTAGGGTACTCAAGATTTATGTAACAAGCTACTATCAACATTTGAATGGAATGATTTCTCAACTTACTCATTTGTGTGTATGGCAAATAAATAAATAAATAAACCCACCCATTTGCCACCCTACCCATTTTGAAATGTCTAGTGTTAAGTATATTCACATTGTTGTGAAACTTAATGTTCCTCTTAAAAATATTGATTTTTTTTTAAAAAAAGGCTAATCATCAAAATTTATTTTGAAGGTGATGGACTGTTGTCAGTCACCCTGACACTTTCTTACTATAGGGAAGCAGGGAAGCTGCCAGCCCAGGCTCCAGTCTGCCTAGGAAGTACATTTGTACATGAAATTCATGAAAAAGTGAGGGTTTTTTTTTTTTAATGCTTTTGGATTGTCTTTAATATATAGCAGATTGTTCGCTAAAAAGATCTTCCTCTTTGGCCCTCTCTCACCACTGTTTTCCCTTTATTCTTGTGCTGAAACAAAACTGGTATTCCTGTGTCTGAACTTCCCTGGCTGGCAGCTTCCTGTCACGCAACTGAATGGAATCTCCTCCCTCCACTTCCTCCACTTCAATAACTTGGTGTTTATCTTGCTGAGTGGGTTATATTTAAATAGATTCTTGAGTGGTGATTTAAGCCTTTCCTTTTTTATATATCTGTTATTTACCAGATAGTTTATCTTTTGTGATGCTCAAATTGTTTATGATGATGTCATTTGTGCATTAGAGAAAATAATCCTTTTTAAGAGTGATTTATGATCTAGAGAATGAGAACCACTCCTGGTTTGTATTTTTACGCAAACCATTGGTTTTTAAAGACTGTTACAGTCATAAATCCAGTTGTCCTGTATGAAAATACAAGTGAATTTTTAACACTTCTGAAATGCCTTGGAGGCACCTTGAACATGCAGCAGGGTTAGCTGAAATCTCAGGCCCCCACGGGAGAGTAAGACATTAGGCCTTATTTCAGCAGTATGTGGTTTTTGAGATCTTAAGGTAGATGAATAGGTTAATCGTTTTGTAATTTTATTTATTGCTACTTTCCTAAACTGTTGCTCCTCTCCTTAGCTCCTGCTTCCTGCCTTTTGCTATCGAATTTGCCACAGAGAAAACCATTTTCTGTTCCAGGCTTTGAGCCCTTAAACAAATTTAATAGTTACTCTGTAATTCTGGTTTTGAGAAAAATGTTCAATTTTACAGGATCTGATTGAAATTACTCTAATTCACAGGGTAATTTTGTCTGGATGGCAGCACTTTAGAATGCAAGTTTCCCAATCTCCATTTCTCTTTTGGTCTGAGGGTGGTGTTTAGGACTGTTAGGATCACTTGATTGATATCTCTGGGCTGTTGAAGATAATTGGCACAGTGTTCATGTTTTTTTAAATTGTTCTAATGGCTAGGTACAGCACAGAGCACCATCAGTGATTAAAGGTTTAGGAAAGCTCAGGGGCTAGGATTATTTTGGCGTATTAAAGGGAAGACTGGAGAAGGGAAATTTAGTCACCGTTTTCGAAGTGTCTGTTGTAACTTTAATCTTCCGATATTTTTAATTAATTAAGATCTATTGTACCTTGACATGACTGTTTTGAGCAGGACTGAAGGTAAGGCGCATTCTTGAGCTCTGGTATAGTTCTGAGTTCAAAGAGTTTAAATACATCATTTACTAGCAGAGGCAGGGCTCCACTTCCCCTCTGTGGAATAGGCTTGCTGAGGGTTGTACTTCACTCCCAGAACTGAGATAATACACATCAACCTCGTGAGCACTGACAGACACACACACACAGGTTAGATTTTTCTGAAAACAAGTGTCTTTTTTATTTTTTTTAAGATTTATTTATTTTTATTGGAAAGTCAGATTTACAGAAAGGAAAAAAAGATCTTCCATCCACTAGTTCACTCCCCAAGTAGCCGCAACAGCTGGAGCTGAGCTGATCCAAAGCCACGCAGGTACAGGGACACAAGGCTTTGGGCCGTCCTTGACTGCTTTCCGCAGCCACCACCACAGGGAGCTGGATGGGAAGTGGAACAGCCAGGACATGAACTGGTGTCCATCCTGTGCTAGGTGAGGACTCTCTAGCCACTAGACTACTGAGCCCGGCCCAACGTGTGTCTTCTAAATAAAAAGTCTCAGCCCAGAGACATTTTCTTTTTTTTTTTTTTTTAGATTTTTAAAAAAGATTTATTTATTTATTTATTTTTATTACAAAGTCAGATATACAGAGAGGATGCCCCGATCCAAAGCCGGGAACCAGGAACCCCCTCTGTGTCTCCCATGCTGGTGCAGGGTCTCAAGGTCCTGGGCCGTCCTCGACTGGCCTCCCAGGCCACCAGCAGGGAGCCGGACAGGAAGTAGAGCTACCAGGATTAGAACTGGCGCCCATATGGGACCCCGGCACGCTCAAGGTGAGGACCTTAACCATTACGCTATTGTGCCGGGCCCCCAGAGACATTTTCTGTTTTAATATGCAGTTCAATTACCAACATTAAAAGGTTTCATTTTCAAGAAACATGTTTGGGTCCTGTTTGATGGCTTAGTGGCTAATCCTCCCCCTTCAGGTGTTAGGGTCCCATGTGGGTGCTGGTTCGTGTCCCAGCTGCTCCACTTCCCATCCAGCTCCCTGTTTATGGCCAGGAAAAGCAGTAGAGGATGGCCCAAAGCTTTGGGACCCTGCACCCACATGGGACTAAGCTCCTGGCTCCTGGCTTTAGATCAGCTCAGCTCTGGCCGTTACGGCCGCTTAGGGCGTGAACCAGTGGATGGAGGATCTTTCTGTTCTCTCTGTGAAATTTGCCTTTCCAATAAAAATGAGTAAATTAAAAAAAAAAAAACTTGGACTGGAAATGCACTTTCACTGAGGCAAGTATATTGTGACAAGAAGCTGTCTTAGCCTTTTTGAGTTTTTTTAAAAATTATTATTATTTATTTTTATTGGAAAATCAGATATACAGAAAGGAGGAGAGACAGAGAGGAAGATCTTCTGACAGATGATTCACTCCCCAAATGGCTGCGACAGCTGGAGCTGTGCTGTGATCCAAAGCCAGGAGCCTGGAGCCTCTTCTGGGTTTACCATGTAGGTGCAGGGTGCCAAGGCTTTGGGCTGTCCTCAGCTGCTTTCCCAGGTCACAAGTAGGGAGCTGGATGGGAAGCAGGGCTGCTGGGATTAGAACCGGCACGTGTAAGGTGAGAACTTTAGCCACGAGACTATCACACCAGGTAGCCTTCTCCTTGTTTCAAGTAAAATGAAAAGAATTATAAATGAGTTATAAATGAGTTATAAAATTATAAAAGAATTGAAATGAGTACAAACGTAGCTGTTCTGTTCTTTCAGGTTCTTAGGAACTTTGTACTTATTTTCACCTGTCACAGAGCCAAGGTGCAGGTGATTTTCTCTCAACCAAGTTATCTAATTGATGTCAACCAGTGTTTAAGCCTAGGTTTGAATAGGTCAGCATCTGCAGCCCGATTAATTAAAGCCAGAAAAAAGTCAAGCGTACTTTCAGGTCTGTGTTACAGTAACCAAGTGGTGGGGCCCTTTCCAGTGTCTGACCCTTTGAAGGAAATGCCAGCCTTGTCACCTGGGAGCTGACTTCAGCCCCGTGATTCAGCACAGGTAAGATGCACCCAGGGGAATGAAGAGCAAGCTCAGCATTAAACTGAATGCTCTGATGAGGTGTGACCTCGACAGGAAGGCGTGTTAGTGATTCTCTAGGGGTGCCTGTAAGTCAGGCTCTTTTTCTGTAGATGTTAAAACTGAATAGTAAAGAAATCTTTCACCTGAGTACCTGTTCTGTGCAAGGCATCATGTTAAGTGTATGTGTATATGTATTGTGTGTGTATAATTCCACGGTCCAGGTAACCGAATAGAGGATATAGTATCCCTGTTTTTGCAGGTAAAGAAGCTGAAATTGCTGTGGGTCCTTATCTCTTGGGCCTTACTGGTTTTGTGCTTTAGTCCTGCTGACCAGGCTGAGTTCTGTTACATGCAGGCCTTGGCGGGCACTTCTGCTTTGTTGGCAGTGGGCTTCCCTTAACAATCTTACCTGGCAGCAGGGCTGTACTGAGCTTTCAGCACTCG